TATTTGTAATATACACAAAATTATCATCCATAATAATTATTTTCCTTATATTCATATCCATACTCATTACATGGAAGGGGTGATTTATTGTGTGAAAATAGTTATCCTATAAAGCGAGTCTGCCTTTACTTACTTGACTTGGCTTTTAAAATAGATCTTTTATGCATGCATAATGAAGGACACATACATATATATAGCATGTTTGTCGTCTGAAACTAAAATTTTAACCCAACTAAAATCTTTAGTTTAAATAGTACAATAAAATTTTAAAATTGAAATTATGAAAAATATTTTGTAATGGTTTTAAGAAATTTACATTTTAGGCATACTTAGGCATTAATTTTTATATATTAAGTGTAATACCTACTTTATTTATCTAATAAATAATAGTATATTCCATCTAACATTTTATGAGACTGACAATGCATGGTTTTACAACTCCAGGTGAGTTTAGCTTGTCACCTTATCCAGGCAGGGTTGTAGGTCTAGTTCAACTGGTCTTGCAATGTCCTTTGTGGGATTATGTTATAAGTCCGCATTTATTGCATTTCTCGCCAAACTAGATTTTTAGTATCTACTTGTTTAGTAGTCCTGACCTTCAGCCTTAGGATTTTAAAGTTGATTCTCTTGATACTATAAAAGTTCTCACCACTAGCTTTCTTATGGTCGAATATTGTGGGATATAATCTCTAAAATTTTTAATAAATGTTTTTTTCAAACATAGATCACTTTAATTTTAAAATTAATAAAGCAAAACTATAGGATAATTAAATTATCATTAAGCTTCTTAGTATCCCAACACTTCTTACCTTTTCTCCTTTGGGTTATGATAAGAACAGTTTTGTTTGATCTTTTCATTTAAGAATCTAAATAAACAATCATGGAAACAAACTTTGAAACTCTTGAATAGTCAATCTTAATTGAGATTTTTTCTTTTAAGATGTAATTAACTATAGGAGATTGTTCTTATAGAAAATTAGTAGCCAAGGTTTCCATATGTTCTATAAATTAACCAGACCTCTGATTTTGAGCTCTATCTTGAATATGATGCAGTGTTCATTAATGAACCACACTCTATAGAATGATCTGAGAGAATCACGATGATATATATGCAAAGGAGTACAATTACCTTCTTCATATAGGTTAACAATTCATATGTTTGGTACGCATTCTGTTGACAAGATTTGCTAAAAGAACATCCTTTTTCTTATTCTTTTTAAAAGGAGAGGAATGAGATTCTCATCATCATGGTGTATAATATCAGGAGGATTCACTTCACTATCAACAACAAAGTTGTAGTAGCATCCAAATTGAATGGTGATCCACCCCATTCCCTTCAACCATTTTTTAGGCTCAGAGTATGTTATTTTTTGGAGGTATACAACTCCTCCTCTGCCCCTTATATCATATACACATTAAAATAACTTATGTTATTTGAATTTGAGAACACATCAGTGTGTAGCTCATGTCCACCTAAAATATTTATAAGTTTTACATCCATCCACTAAAACTGCACAAATTTATGTTTCTTGATATTCTCGAATCTTTCAAATTCCTCCTTAGAAATGATTTTTCATGGTGCAAATCTCTAAACTAAATATTGAACATAAGCTTCAACCATTGGGATACCTTCTCTAAGCGTATACTCTTTCACCTCATGCAGGGACACTCTTTAAATTAAGCTCCTTAGATCCTTTGTGTGTTTTTTGCTATCCTAAGAAATTTTCTAGTTTACTTCAATAAGATTATTTGAGTTGTAGTAAATTGTAGATTGCATTAGATGAAAAGTCTCCCTAGTTGTGTAGCCAACTACTGTCATCCAGTTTGATTTTCTGTATGACATTGTTCCTTCTTATATGTTTGATATAATCATAGAAATATTGGGAATTTCTATCACCATATTTGAACTAAATAGCGGTTTTCATTATTGTTATGGAGTCTCCTTATTGTATTCTCCTCTGTGCCTTGGTTTGACAAACTCTCTTGTTGTACGTAACTTCCATGTGGAAATTTAGTAGAGCGTCTAGTGGCTCCTCTATTGCCAAAACACTCTTTAAACTTGTATGTTATCCTTGAATGTCAACCATCTGGTTTATTAAACTAACTAAAATTTTTGTTATGAACTCTGCATTTTTTTTTCTTTAATGCAAAACTATATGTATTGACCATGGCTTGTTTTCTTGGACTTCTTCTTGGTTTAATATATTACAAGATAATCCATCATTAAACATCTTCATCTGTTTGAAGCCCAAGACAAATTTGATTATAGCCCCTCAAATAGCTGGTCTTAGTTTAATGCAAGATTATGCCACGTTGAAACAAAATATTAGCCTTCCTCTTACATCTTCATACATTACAAGCATAATATCAATATGATCGAGTAAAATCCAAATTTTTATAAAATTTTTTTTCTTATGTTAGAGATTTTGATTTATCTTTTAAGACTTTAAATACTTTTTTTTATGTTATTCAATTTGACCCAAAGATGTAGATCAGAAGAAAAGAAAGAAATTCTAGATTTTGATTGGAAGATTGATTTTAAATATTTAGAATCTTGAAGATTTTGATTTAGGAAATAAATTTTATTGATCTTTAAATTTAAACCTGGTTACATATGAATTGTGCATAAGTTTTATAGAATAAAATTTTATTTCTTAAACATGTTCTTAAATTCTACAATGCATCATATTTCTTCAAGTAATATTCATTAGCTAGAAGCATATGGAATTCTTCTTTACAATCTACTAATTAGTAATATCACTCATTCTATACTTTCTTAAATACGAAGGGATCTTCCCAAGTTGGTTCAAATTTACCATCCATTTTGTAATGGGAGAAAATTAGCCTTCGAAGAACTAAAACCAAGTCACCTACTCAAAAAATTCTTGGGCATGTCAATTTGTCATGTTCTTGAACTATTTAAGCTTGGTATAATTCAAAATTTTGTTGAGCTAACTTATGCTTCCCATCAAAGCTTTTGATTTATCTAGATGGAGCCTATCATTCTTTTGTGATGTGACTTTCTTGTTGACTGTCATCCTTAATGAGGGGAGTGGAACTTCTTAACAGAGAACAACTTTGAACTCTACACTGAATCATAGGGTGTAGATTGAGTTTGAGTTTTGTGTATTATTTTGTAAGCCCATAGAGCTTAGTTCATTCCTTTGCATTTTGTTATCATCCAAAATTTTATTTGATATTTGCACTAATGTGTTGTTGAAGCCTTGTACTAATTTATTTGCCTTATGGTAGTAGATCGCCGAATATCTCTAATCCATACTATGACATCTGATGCGGTTGTTGATCTTTGTGCTTTTAAAGATAAAACCAATTCAGATATTATTCAATGGGGACGCCAAACCTATATATGATATGGTTCTTGAAGAATTGAAGAACATGATGTGCTTTAACTTCTCTTAACATTACTACCTTTTTCCCACTTGAAGAAGTACTGTGTAGTTGCTAGAATAAACCTGCACACTTTAGAGGAAGGAAGATATGCAGGACTATTATGTCTGTACCCGAACGCCCAGGAAGTCGGAAGATAATTATCAGGTGAAGAATAATTGGAGGCTGATGTAGCACAACCTGGAGCACTAATGACATTTCTTAGTAAATTCCATGCAATCTGTGATCATACCACACCAGTAATATACAAGTCTTTAATATATGCCTTCGTTTTTAGGCTAGATTGATGAGCACTAAATAGACCAAAATATACTTCATTGATTATCTTTTATGCTTTTGATTTGTCAAAACATTTCAATCACATATGATCAAATGATCTTCTGTATAAAACACCATCAATCAAAGCATACAATAATACTCTTCTTTTGATCTGACGGACCAGTGACTTGTCTTGGGTCAATTTACTTGTCTGCAAGTAATCTATAAATGGTTGCCGCCTGTCGTTTATTTCCTCTTCGACGACAATAATAACTTTTCCTTTAGTTGAGAATTTTTGCAAATATTCCATATTGATTGGAAAATCCTCTTTAGGACACACATATTTCTTAGCCGCTTTTGCCAGTGTTCGCTATGGAGTTCTCCTCATGGGGTACCATATATAAAGTCACATTCATAATTTGTTTGAGGAGTTTTATAGTGTATTAGTACTAACCATGCTGTAGCTTAAAAAAAATTATATTATGACTATCTGATTTACTAAGAATCCCTGAAGATCATGATTTTTGTTATAATCACAAGAACACAAATTTCATATCGATAATTAGAGCTTCATATTCAGCTTTATCATTGGTGCAAGGTTATAATAAGTTGTAGGAGAAGCGTAATATTCCTTGATCCAGAGTAATGAAAATTAGAACAATTTTTAGTTTGCCAAGAATGATCGTTTAAGGTTCTTCACCTTTTTGCAAAGATAAAGTTCCATCAAAGTATATCTCCCAACAACAATATTCTTGTCCATTAGAACTCATGACTTGGTCGTCAGACATGCCATCATTTAGATGTGATTCAACAGGAAGTGAGTGTACTACTAGAAAGTTAGCCAAAGCTTAACCAGACAATAGATTAGAACTCATGACTTGGTCGTCAGACATGCCATCGTTTAGATGTGATTCAACAGGAAGTGATTATACTACTAGAAAGCCAAAGCTTAACCAAACAATATTGGTCTAGTCTTCAAGTATTACAGTGAATTAAACCTTAAGATAAGATTGTCCTTATGAGAAAACATATACTGCTTAAGATTTTGGACAACAAAGGTCAGAGCCAAATAATGCTTTCAATTAGATGATACTTTCTCCGCATGATTTGGACGATAGCTTAACTACTATAAGACATTCTCTTTTTTCTCATCATTCATCTAAGCTATATAGTTTTGAGACAATATAAAATATGGTCTACTCAAAATAATCATAAATAATACATATTCATTAATATTTACTCAAATCATGCTGTTATTTTGTATTCAATAAATAATAAATTTGGCGTTAGTTAACCGGTTATCCACCCCACCGGCCCGCAGGCCAAACGAGACCATTATCTTACCCAAATTGCATTCCCTCCACAAATGTCCTCGTCAGCATACCCTCCACTGCTGCTTCCGCTACAGAGACAGCCACACCTCCCAACCCAAGTCTTCGTCAATTCCTTCATTCGTCCTTCTCACAAACTGGTCGCTTTGGCAAAACCAAAGAGAAAAGCCCACGCCGTCAACGAAAATCACATGCGTTCTCGAATCCCAATCACATCTCCTCTTCTGGTACACAATGGCCACCAAATCCCTACCAAAATTCCAACTCCTTTCTCCAAACCTTCTTCTTCCTCCTCTTCTAATTGCTCGCATCTCTGCCTTCCGCTCTCGGCCTCGGCGATGGCGGCGCTTTTCCATCCTCGAAGTCTGAGGCGGGCGGCGCTGGTCGCAGGGGTTCTGAACCTCGCTATCATTGCTCTCGGTACCGCCCTCTTTTCCGTCTCCCTTTCTCGTTGCGGCGCCCTGGAGAAATCCGCCGTCGCTGGTGTCTTTGCGGCGGCCGTGCTCAGGATCGGATCCATGTTACGCATAGGGATAGCCCAGGCCCACGCCGCTGTATCTATTGCGACTGCTGCAGCCGGAGACCCCCGGATGGAAAATGCCGGCGATGATTCCCGCCACCGAAGAAGGGTATGTGTGTAATTTTAGTTCTCGAATCTGCTTTGCCTTTTGTCGGCTTTAACGGATTCCAGCTGTTAACTAGTACTAAAAATGGGCTTTTAGGGCATTTTGCTTTCTTGTAGAGAAATTCACTCGCAATATTTTAGTTGTATAAAACTTAGATGATTAATAATATGTAAACTGCTATTTCATGCAAAATGTTACAATCGGCCATTTGAAATCCTCCTTTTCTTTTTCGTTTTGTGTTGAATCCCGGATTTAATAAATCATAGCATTGGGTGCGTTTAAGAAATTTGCAAGACTCACGAACTACTCATTTTCACGCGCAGCTATATCGTAGACGCCTTCTGTTATTTTAAGGGTTTTGGGAATTTGGAAGATGGGATTTAGGGGAGAGAGATGAGTGTTAGCATTTAAAAAGCTGTATTAATTAAAAAATATTTAGATAAGATACATTAATTAAGAATTTAAATTAATGTGAATAATAAATATCAACTAACTAAAAAGTTATTTATTTAAATTAATAGTATCTGTGGTTTAATTTGATAAAAACAACTTTATTATATTTAATTAGTTTTTTGAAGTTTTTTAATTTATTTTAAATTAGGATATTAATTTCAACTAATTATAATTTAAAGTCGGTTTGATGAAAACTTTTATTAATTAAACCTATCAACATCTAATCAAACAAATTAGATAGATGTGTTACTTGAGTAATTTATTTATTTAAATAATTAAAAGTAATTGATTAAAAATTTATTATCTTAATTTGTTTGATTTATTTTTATTTGTAATTTAATTTATTTAATTATAACTTACTATTTAATTAGCTTAATAAATTACTGATTAACTATTGGTTGATATGCTTAATTAGATGATTATTAGTTTGACTATTTTAATTCGTATATATACATATAAGTAATAAATATGATAGTATATTTCAATCTTATAAATTCTTAAATCCTAAAAAGGTTTCTAGGCAAATTCCTTGAATTTAATTGGATCTAACACCTATCCTAACGAATAGTTTTTATGATTTAACCCATGCAGGATTTAGTAAATCCAAATTTATAGGATTTACTAAATCCTACATGAAGCCATAAAGCCCTTGGTTATTGACTCATGGAGCTGAAGTGGAAATCAGTCTTTATGTCGTGCTTAGGTTGCTGGCTATAGTAGAAAGTTGAATGGGAATGAGTCTTAGGTTTTAATTTGGAGCTTTGATTTAGCAGGGCGTGTGGACTTGAAAAGGTGAGGATCTTTTATTATAAAGGCTCAAGTTAAATCAACGAGAATCTCTATCAAGCAAGTGGGGTTATGGCTTGTGTCAGTGGGGCATTCTAGTAGAATTAGAAGTAGGATTTAATCTTTACCAATTAAAATGATGAAGGAGAGAAAATATTAGAGAGAGAAACAATAACAAGTTTAATCATAGACTTAGAACTAAGACACACACCTTCATTATAAATGATGATTAAAATAATAAAAATGAAATAAAATTGTAGTTATGTTATGAGAGTAGTGAATGCACCTGTTAAGGATTGAACAAATTAATTTAAATTAAAATTTGCATAATTTGTATTTAAATTTAAATTTAATGCTAATGCCATATGTTATGTGTTATGTTATGTGTTTGTGTGTGTGTGTGCATACAAATAGTCATTAAATATAATAATTGCTATACAATATTTAACATAAAATAGAGAAAAAATATTAACATGGTCCTTGACTGTTTATGGGGTACTATTATAGTCCCAAACTATATGAAATATCCAACTTAGTTCTTAAACATCTTAAATGTCAGCCAAACTAAATTCATTGTTAAAAGTAGTGAAAATTGAAATCGAAGTTATAATACATCTTAAAATTTTTACAAAATTTGATTTCCTACTTATTGTTATATGAACAACAGTCTACTTCGTGTATCAAATGAATGGATTGTGATCATGTATATTGTAAAGCAAAATGTTTTGTTATAATAAATAATTTTATTTGATATTTTTTATGTTGATTCAATTGTAACAAAATACATTAAGTTCAATTTTTTTAATTTGTGAATATTGAATTTAAAAAATTTTTATTGATTATTTTTAATTTTCTTAGAAAGAATTAAATATTTATTTGAATTGTTTAGTTTGTATCAATATATATATATATATATATATAATCTGCAAGCATTTTTATTGCTCCAGAAAAGTTGGTTACAAGTTTTGTAGGTGAGTGGATCCCTCTACCAAAGTCAAAATAAGTACAAAACACACTCTTAAGGCTCCATCACATTGAGGACAACCCGCACAGAGATAATTCCAAAATCCAAGTAACTCAAAACAAAAAAGAATGACTCCAAAATACACGTACACAAAAAAAAAACCCCAAAAAAAAAAAATAAAAAAAAAAAAAAAAAAAAAAAAAAAAACCTTGGTAGCTCTATAGACCAGTTGAAGTTCCTTCATCGCATTCTCTCATTTGCGATGTATTTCTCCAGTATCGACCCCACCTAAGTATCCAGTAGAGGTCCTCGTAGACCAAGCTCACAGTAAAAATCAAAACATATCGTTAAATCAAGTTCCCAACTATAACAACAATGACTAAAGAAAAACTAATGACTAAAGATAAACTAAAAACAGTAGATTGTAAATCGGCCAACACTATATATATATATACACATACATACATACATACATACACAAACACACACACACCTAATTGCTTGTGTGCATGCGTCCGTGCATACATATATATATTGTATATTTGTGCAACATGAAAAATTTGAGCACTTGGGAGGAAATTAAGCAATATTTGTGTGTGTGTGTGTGTGTGTGTGTGTTAAAAGGAAATCGATACTTGACACTACCAACCCCCCCCGGCTCGCATGCGCTTTTTGGCCCTATGATGATTGTATATATATATATATATATATATATATATGGGACT